TTCACAAGCTTCAAAATCTCCCCTCCCGCTACCGCATCCCAAAACCACTCCAGCTCGTCCCCGCCTCCCTAACCTGTTCTTCCTCCCACCTATCCCCTCCTCCCACCTCAAGCCACACCCCCATCTCCTACCGACTAACCTCATCCCGCCCCCTTGACCTGTCCGTCCTCCCTAGACTGACCTATCCCCTCCCTAACTCCCCACCTACACTCACCTTTACTGGCTCCATCCCCGCCTCTTCGACCTGTTTGTTTCCTCTCCACCTATCTTCTCCTCTATCCATCTTCTATCCGCCTCCCACTCTCTCCCTATTTATTTCAGAACCCCCTTCCCCTCCCCCTTTTCTGATGAAGGGTCTCGGCCCGACACGTCAGCCTTTCTGCTCCCATGATGCTGCTTGGCCTGTTGTGTTCATCCAGACCTGCACCTTGCTGTCTCGGATTCTCCAGCATCTGCAGTTCCTACTATCTCTGATTCAGTAATAGTAAATGGGTATTTTTCAAGATGGAGGACTTCCACAAAAGTTAGTATTGGTATCTATGCTTTTCCTGATATATATTTACATGATCTAGATCTTGTTGCACAGGGGATAATTTCAAACCTTGCAGACAACACAAAACTTGGAAAAAACTGTAAATTATGAGGACAGTACAGAATTTCAAAAATTTTCAAGTTAGTGGAGTGGACAGACAGGTGGCAGCTGAAGCTCGACATGGAGAAGTTTGAGATGACCCACCTTAGGACAAAGGCCACAGACAGAATAAAATAAAACTTCTAACAGGTGTGAAGGAGGAACAGAGAAACCTAGGGCACATATGAATAGGTTTGAACAGTGGCAGTAGTCTTATTTTGTGACCTGGTGTCACACATTCCCCAGATGAAGAGAGGTGGTTAAATCTTTTTGATCATCTGCAACACCCAACTATAATTTCCAAGCGGAACATACAAAATCAATATGCAACCTCCAAGGCAACAAAAATGTTGGGGTTTGTGAGACACAATTCCGGTCGCTCTTCTGCTCCGTGAACAGAAATGTTGCGCCAAAACCTAGTCAGATCGCACCTGGAGGACGATATGGGTACCTAGGTACCATTCACTGCTTAAAAAAAAGGCATTATCCTCAAAAAATTTCACCACCAGGCAGCTCGATTCTTCGCATACTGTGCCTGATGGGATCTGGAGCTTCCCAGTTGACAGCCTGACACAACTTCCAGATCCAACGAGCAGCCTACAGGTTGTAAAGTTTTGAATGAACCATAAAATATTTCTAAGCAGTTTCCAAATCACAGCTTCAAAACTGTACACAACCCAAACGTGCTTCTCTTCAACCTCTCTCCCCCTACCAGGATGGAAAGTACTACTCATCATGAATCACCACGCCTTTATGCGCTTATTAAAGGAATACCTGCTAATTTTTTTTGTTCACATGACCATGGGCTGCATTCATTGTGCAGGTCCTGTGAAAATTGCCTCGCGGAAAAGTACAAAAAAAACCCTTACCAAGTACTGTACCTCCCAGATGCCGTCCACGAAAAGTAATTAATCTATCTTCGTTACCTTGAAACGATCAACCGACGCTGATAGTTGAAAAAGTGCTCCAATGCGTCTCATGTAATGGTGTCAACAGAACGCCGGCGATTAGCGATATCGTTATTTTGTGCGTACGCCCATGCTTTTTAAAAATAAAGCAGAGAGATCACCCTCACCAACAAACACTGACTTAAATGGTTTGTTACTCCCTGATGCAGAGAGGAGAAGAAGGACAACAAACCGCTCCAGTCACCATCGAGGCCCCGCTCTGAAGGCACTCTCTAACGCTCGCGCTCTCAACTGCCACCAACCGCCGCCTCGCCCACCACGCGCCTTCCCGCTCTCAGCCCGCGCCGCAGCCACAAACCGCATGTCAACGGCTCCGGCGCGAGTGGCGTCATGGCGTCATGTTCGACCTCCTCCCCACCCCCATTAATCCAATAAGAAGGCGCCTTCTGTTGGCGGTGCGTTCGTTACTTTTCCCCAATTGGTGAACCCGTCGACCTCGCTCCGTCCAACCCCAAGACCCAATCCCTTCATTCTTCAGAGAAATAAGAACTGCTGACGTCAGTCTGAGATAACACAGTAGGCCAGGAAGCATCGGAGGAGCAGGAAAGCTGACGTTTCGGGTCGGGACCATTTTTCTAGTCACTTCATTTTTCTCTTCCCTTACTCCCAATCCTCTCATTCTGTTCCCTCCACCCCAGTTTTTGATGAAGGCATTGGATGATTGGCAACCTCCACCATACAAGTGCTTCTCCACCCCCACCCCAAACTCCATTTGGGACTTCAACGTTGTTGCAGCCCCTCAGCAAAAACTGAGAGGGGAAGCAGGAAGGATGTCTTGTTAGAGCAGAGGCAGAGGGCTACAAATCTGTCTCATGGCAGCCATTGCTGCTTCAAAGCAGCAGGACTCAACTGTCCAAGCTTTGGGAAGTCTTGCCCTATCCCAATCTGGTAGGAATGGAGAGTCGACTGGAAAGGCAATGTGAAATAAATTTCTTTTTACTTTTTTTTATGGGATTTAGGATAACCTGACAGGGGCAGTGTTTGTTGTTCATCCCTGATTGCCCTCGAGGTGTGGCTAAGCAACTTTCTTCATCTGCTTTATTCTATCTGCAAACTAATACAATGTATTTGTTCTACTACTCACTGATTTTAGCCTTTCAAATTAGCATGAGTAAATAACCACTCATCATAGTCTCTTAAACATAAGAAGCTGTTCAGCAGTGGAGACCTTGAGGAAGAAATTGTCATGTCTTATGATTTGTCTTGTTATAGGAGGGCTGAGGTTTCCAAAGAAGGATGGTGTAAGTCAGTTGGGCAGAACATAAGAGCACTGAAGTTCTCAGAATAATAATGGTGCAACAATTATTATGAATGTCATCAAAAGCAGCATGGTTATATTGGCCGTATTCCCTACCTCATAGGTAAGAAGTGGGGATATTTACCAATGAATGCACAATGCTCAGCACCATTTGCAACCCCTCGGATACTGAAGCAATCCATGTTTAACCGTTGCCTTTTGATATTCAATAGCAAGGCCATTTTGGATAGATGGTGGTAGTGATATGATTGCTGAACTAGTAATCCAGCCAATGTACTGGGGACTTGGCAGATGGTGAAAGCTGAGTTCAATAAAAATCTGGAATGAAAAGTCTAGTGAAGGCCATGAATCCAGTGTTGATTGTAATTTTTTTTAAAAATTGTTCACTAACATCCTTTAGGGAAGGCAAACTGCTGGCCATACCTAGTCGATCTACATGTGACCACAGACCCACAGCAGTGTGTTTGCTTCAACTGCTTTCATGTCATTGCCAATGATACGTTCACTTCTGTCATCCAAGTAATGAATATATATTGTAAATATGAATGATGGGACTGATCCCTGTGACACTCCACTAGTTGCCAGCCTGTAAATGTTCCCAAATCCCAATTCTGTCTTCTGTTAGTTAGATAATCCTCTGTCCATGCTAATATGCCACACCCAAAACATTGGGCTCTTGTCTTCTTAAGTATGTTTGCATTATCAAATGCCTTTGGAAATCTAAATACATGACATCTACTGATCTCCCTTTGTCCACCCTGATTGTTACCTCCTCAAAAAAATTATAATTTATCAGACTGATATCCCCTTCATAAGGTTATAATGACTCTGCTTAACTATGTTGTGCATTTCTAAATGCTCTCCTGCTATATTCTTTCCCAATAACAGATGTTCGGCTAACTGGTCTATAACTACTTATTTTACCTCCTTTTTTAATAAGGATGTTTCTTTGGCAGTTTTGCAAAATCTAATTTATTTTTGCAAGATTACTACCAGTGCAACCACCATCTCTGTACTTACTTTATTTAATTGCCTAGGATTCAACCCATAATGCCCAGGAGAGTTATCACCTTTAGCCCCATTAGTTTCCCTAGTCCTTTTTTTCTAATGTTTGTTTGCTCCTCCACTTTTGCTCATTGATTTATTATTTCTGGAATGCTATTAATATCCTCTACTGTGAAGAGTGAAGTAAAGTATTTCTTCAATTCTTCTGCCATTTCCTGGATCCCTATTATTACCCCAGCCTCATTCTATAACGGGTCTAAATTCACTTTGGCCCCTCTCATCCTTTTTGTATACATAAAGAAGCTGTTACTGTCCATTTTATGTTACTTGCTATTTGCCCTCAGTTTATTTTCTCCCCTTTTTTGGGTCAATATTTGTTAGCTTTTAAACTTTCCCAATCTTCTAATTTATCACTCATCTGTGGCATATTCTTTATTTTCCCCCACTTCAATTTGCTACTATTCTTAACTTCCTTGGTTAACCACAGTTTGTTTATCACCCTATTGGAATCCATCATACAAAGAACAATACAGCACAGGAACAGGCCCTTTTGCCCTCCAAGCCAGGATCGACACATTTTGCCCTTCCATTCTAAAACTGTCTTCACTTACAGGATCCATATCCCTCTATTTCCTTCCTATTCATGTATTCGTCCAGGTGCTTCTTGAATACTGCCATTGTGTCTACTTCCGCCACTTCCTCTGGCAGCGCGTTCCAGGCACTCATCACCCTTTGCATGATATCTTTTGCTCCAGAATGATTTACTAAACCTGCCTCATTATACATTACCAGATCCAAAATAGCCTGATAGTTTCCTAGAACTGGTCCAATGCCGAATACATTGGCTAGCTCTGTCGATTTAACTTTCCCAATAACCATGGGTTACTTTAAAACTTTATGTAGAAAGTACTACCTTCTTTGCACGTCCTCATTATCTCCTGTTTATTGACTGTCCTACAGAACAGCTATAGTTAGGAGGGTTATAGACTATTCCCACCAATGTTTTCTTTCCCTGGTTTTTTCTTACCTCTACCATGATAGATTCCATATCATTCGATCCAAGATCATTTGTTGATAATGTACTTATTCCATTTTGAACTCACAAACCTACTCCACTAGCCTTCCTTTCCTATCTGTCCTTTCAAAAGATCACATTCCCATGAATATTTAGTTCAAAGTTTTGATTTCCTTGTAACCGTATCTCTGTAATGACTCATAATATCATACTGATTAACCTCTATTTGTGACATGAATTCATTTATTTTGTTCAGAATACTACACACATCTAAGAGCCATTAATTTTATCTTTTGTTCCCTATTTACTACGTTTTTTTTCCCCTTGGCGTTTGTATACTCTCCCTCTGGATATGGTCAAAATAGTTTGTCCGCAGTGCCAATATATCATTTTGCTTTGCAAGCCTTAGTTACACACCCACCACTCCCAACCCTATTAACTAGAACAGATGCTAGACTGAGTTTGCAGCAGGTGGTATGGGAACAAAGAGGGAAAAGCACACTGAACCTTGTCTTCACTAATCTGCATGCCGCAGGTGCACCTGTCCATGATAGTATTGGTAAGAGTGACCACTATTCAGTCTCTGCAGAGACAGTCACATCAAGAACACCATATGTTCTGTTTTATGGCATAATTGTTGTGCTAAACAAAATAGACTTGATACAGACCTATCAACTCAACATTGTCAACCATGAGGTGCTGAGGGCTAACAACAGCAGCAGAATTGTATTCAGACACAATTTGCAGCGTCATGACCTGGCATATCACCGATTCTACTGCAACCAGTAAGCCCAAGGATCAGTCCTATTTCAATGAAAAGTACAGGAGCACATGCCAAGAGTAGTACCAGGCATACCCAAGAAATGAGATGTCAACCAAGTGAAGCTACAAAACAGGACTACTTCCAGGTCAAACAGCATAAGCATAAAGCAATAGAAAGAGCTAAACAATTCCATAGCCAGATCTAAGCTCTGCATTCCTGCTGCATTGAGCTGTGAATTCTTGTGTACAATTCAGCAACTCAATCAAGGAGGCGGCTCCACTTGTAACCCCATCCTCAATGATAGGGGAGCTCAGCACATCAGTGCAAAAGAAAAGGTTGAAGCATTTGCAACAGTCTTCAACCAGAATTATTGCA